GAGCTAAGTTGAGGTGGGGTCTTTACCAAAGTTCCTGAACCTGAAGAACAAACAAAAAAAAAAAGGCAACTGGTTACATATAAAGGCAGGCAGTATGAGCTATGCTATAGTCATCTCCATCATCCGGTACTAATACTAAAGATCAATAGCCAAGTCTCTAGCATTCTATTTGCCTTCATTATATAGCCAATTGTCACATAAATTTGCAGTCAAAATTAAGACATCAGGTATAGTTGACCCACAAAATGCATGTACCAAATACGTATCGATCCCCTAAAACTAACTCCGTGAAGTTATAGAGTTTCAGTTTCAGGATGGTAGATCGCGTTTGACTACCCAGCCACATGAGAGCTCATGATTATGAAACGACAGAAGTTATCATAATTCGGTAAAAACCATGTGCATTTAAAATAACTATGGCTAAGCACCAGTTAAGGTTTTGATCAGGTGAAGAAGAAGTAGTTACATTTTGATTTCAGTCTCAGAGATTTTTTAAATGAATCATCATTGAAGTACATCATTATTATTTTCAAATGTACTCCAGAATGTGTGAGCAACCAATTCTTATATGGTGCACCATAGTTTCACCACACATATGGTGCACTAGTTTAATTAATGAAATTTATTTAATTAAATAAAATAGTACTAGTAATAAATTAGTCAATTCCCTTCATATATTTAATATTCAAGCCAAAACGTGATTACAAAGAAGATTCAAAAAGAAAAAGAAATTAAAAGTTCATAATAATACAATATTCATGAATGATAATCATATTTTCATATCAAATATATATAAATTTCATAGCTTTTGATTAAAAAATTGCACAAATAATCACAAATAAAAGATTTTCATCTTTCTAATCTTTCATATGACTATTCATGAAGATTATGCAAAATGTTCATATACAAAATGGAGAAATTCAATAAATTAATCATGTGTGGTGTAATTAATGTTAATACTCTTTTCATTAAATATTTATGAATAACAATCATAATTTTCATATCATGTCTATCAAGTTTCATAATTTTTCCTAGAGATTTGGAAGACTATTGCAAATAAGAAATATAAAAACCATATTCATACCCATATAAAATAATGTTCATGAGAATTCTTCAAATTTTCACCCAAAGAAAATAAAAATATTAATAAAATATTTAAAAATTCTTATATTCATAGTTCATACTCATTCCATGAAATATTAATGAATTAGAATAATATTTTTCATGACACACACATGTATACATATATATATATATATATTTCATGATTTTTTATTAAATTTAAATTGTTCCAAAAAATTTTAAATTACATTAATAATTGTGAATCGAAGAGAGAGTTTCAAAATTATTGGAATATTATACGACAAATTAAATGATGAGAGAAAATCAAACTATGTAATAATATTTTTATTATTTTTCATTTCATAATTAGATTTTATTAATCACATGAGTGTACCATATATACCAGGTTCATCATATAAATTGTCATCTTTTCACCATCATCAATATCACAGAACTTAAAACTTGTGACGAATTAATTTGTGCCCTTATTGGCTTAATTATTGTATGAAATTATTCTTTAAATATTAATTTCTTTCCACTAAATCCTCCCTCACATTCATAAGAGACAGGGGTACTTCGGCCGAAAAATTTTCTAAAAATAGAAATAGACAAAAATAATTTTGTTCTATTTTAAGTGGACAAAACTAGTTGTCCTGAATTTGTGAAATCCGAAACACTAATTAAACAACGTCTCGGATTATGCAAATCCGAGACAAATAAAAAAATAAAATAATGATTTTTCATTTAGGAAAATGATAAGTATAGTGGCTACATACAGTGAAATTAAATAGTGACTGAGTTGGTCCTCTATTTTGTAACCACTTTTCCGTAAAAATTATATTCTTTTTTTAAAAAATTACACTTTTACTCTTAAATAACAAAGACGAATCAGTCACTATTAGTTTTCACTGTACTTTTTCACTGGCTATATCATTGCTGTTTCATTTATTGATATATTTTGGTGAAATTGCGATGAAAAATATGAACAGTAAATCCGAATTTTCCAAATCTGATAAACTTTGTTTTTGGTAATTTTATGATATTTGATAATTTATTAATCTATATATATTAGTAGATGATGAAAAAGGCTGATTTGGCATCAAATTAGAAGTTAAACTAAGTTGGAAGTAAAGAAAAAAGATTTAACTGTTATTTTATATAAATTTAATATTTTAATATTTGATTTATGATTACACCGAATCTTAACTGCACATAATAACTCTGATTTTAATTTCCTGCAACAACTAATCTGATTAGGAAAGTTCCAATCAAAATAGAGTCCAAATTGTTGTTTGCTTCTATCCTAAATCTTTTGCGAGATTTTGATCAATATCGGTCTATTTAAACTTGGCGACGGTAAAGAGCTCAAAATAATTAGGTATGTCTTCGTTCTCTCTATTTAATTTTACTTTGAATCTTTTGTAGCTTTCATATAGATTTATTTATTTTTTTAATGCGAGTGTATGTTTATTGCATGAGCTTTCAAAGGATTTTGAGTACATGTGCACAATGTCAAAAAATATTACTGATAACGGTTTGGTAATCATCTCAGTTAAAGTTTTTCATTCAGTTATGCTACTTTGGATTATTGTTTCACTTATTTATAATTTTTTATTTTCGCAGACACTTTCGAGTCGTCTGCCATCGTTATTTAGAGGAAATCCATAAGGTTATGTCTATCTACACACTGATTTTGGAGATTTATATATGTTAAATTTTGTATTACCCATAAGGATCGAGGAAAATTTTATGGTAATAGATTTTTAGAATTTATTCGTAGCATCATTTCTGGTATAATAATTGACATGTTTATAAATAATACTAGATACTTGGCCCGGGCAGATGCCTGGGGGCCCGTGTTTTAAATTCGTTAATTATCTATAAATATAATAATATTAATAAAAATAATATTGGAATAAAATCTATGTGATCAAGATAAATTACAATAGACTTTTATACAACTCATAAATATCTTGCTGAAAAAAAATATAATTATCCAATTTGACCTATAATTACATTTAATAAAAAATGAAATTGCCCGAACAGCTTCTCGTGTTTTAAATTTGATAATTTCATTGGAATAAATTTAATGTGATTAAAATAAATTATATTGGACTTACTTTAGGTTTTAATACGATTCGTTATTTTATGTCCCCGTTAAACAAAATGATTGAAATAAAAATGTAATTGGTTGATTTGATACCTAAAATGTAAAATGTTATGCTCCGGGCGTCCGGAAAACCTTGCTTAACAAATTGATATGGAATTTAGAAAATGAACTGTTACATAAAAAAGAAACAAAAAAAAAAATCTTTCATCATGATAAATAAAGATAATAAAAGATACAAATATAGTTGTGTCTTGAGAGCTATAAAATCAGTTTTGTCCATAAGTACATTGTAGTTTCTCAAGAGGGAGATTGAAAGTGTGAAAAAATGACAGAATTTAATAGTTTTTTTACGAGAATGTGTTTAAGAAGAACCACACAAAAGGTTGGGAAACATCACATTCCAGTGACCCAAAAGGACACTGAATTCTTGCTTGTAAACTGGCACAGATTAGAATGCTCGGGTCACTTTCCACACCTATGTATTCTCGGCTATTTTTCTTCTGAAACTACAATAAGACTTTCTGAAAAATTCGCTAAGTTCACACATGAATACGAAAAAATTTGAAATACAATTAAGTGTTTCACAATATGTCGGTACTAATAAAAGTAAAGAAAGTTGATCAAAAACCATGAAAAGCAATGTCAGTATGTGACTTGCCAGATCAATGTGTGCAATAATGTGATAATTACACCAATAACCCTAATGGATTGATATGAATACTGAAAGAGAAGAGAGCCGATAATATATCCTCTCTGTTTGAAATTCAAAAAAATCTCCTTCATCTCGACTGTAACTTTTAATGGAATGTAAATCTCTTAAAATAGGGACTGATTATTATGTACATTTAAATGTAATTATCTTTCTATTTTTTGTTATTTTTTTTTTTGAAGGGGATTTTTTTCTTTTTCAGATGACTGCATAAATAGAATGTCACGTGTCGGTTTTGGTGGGAAAAAAAAACTCTGTGAAGCTAACACGTGTCCTAAGTGTCATTTGTTTTTATGAAGTGTAAAGGGATTTAACAAGCATAAATAAATTCCTCATCTCTCTAACAAACATATTTTACACCTATTGCATATTTATGTGCAACACATGAGGTAAACACTAGTACTAATACATAGCAGAAATAATAAACTTATTATTCAAAATACTGGGAAGGTTCATAGATAGTAGATACTCTCTCTGTCAAAACTATTCTCTAATTTGAATTTTTACTTTTAGTTATATTTATATTAAAAATGAAAATTCAAAATAATTTCGGGGACGGAGAGAGAGTATTAAATAGATTACTTTAGCAAAATTTTTTCTTTTTTGGTTAAATTACTTTAGCATTTTTCATGTACAAGGTATTTTAACCAAGATCCCCAGTTGACGAAGTTACAAATCAGCAAAAATAATGAGAAACTGGAAATAAAGTAAAAAACCAAATTAATGACCATGTCTCAAAACAACCGTTAAAACAAACATGTCTAACCACCATCAGTTGGTCCCAACTTTAACAACGGTGGAAACGTCAAAATTTCAAAGAGAGAAAATGAGCAAAAAAGGAAGAAAAAGACGAAGGATTAATAATCCAGGAATGGCTAAATCTGTTGGGCTTGCTTTGGTTGGCGTGTTTCCCTGACGGACCTGCCGGGGTAGCACGAAACCGTCAGCCGGCAGATGAAGATCGACCGGAAGTGGGGGCCAGTCTGACCCCTTTGACTAGACGGATAATACTAACGGGGTCAAAAGTCAAACTTTGGCAGCCTAAGTAAATAAAGAATGGAGCTGTAAGAGATTTGGGGAATTCTTGTCCCCTTTTCATATCCCGCTTCAATTGTGGTGATGGAGTGCAAGGAACTAAGACTTTGCCCAGATGATCAACCAGTGGTGGGATGCGAAGTCCTTACTTGGATCAAAGTGGAGAACACAGATTCGAACGGGAAGACATACTTGGTGTCGGCTAAAGATTTTGAAGATCAGAAGTACTCCATCAAATTCACCTGGTACTTTGTCCCTTTGCCGCTCTGATTAATTCTCATCAATCTCTTTTGAGCATTCATTTCTTCAATCGCCGTCGCCTGGGGATTATGATTGACTTTTTAGCTTCTATTAGTAGTAGTGGGTTCTCATAGATAAGTGGTTTTACATCAGGATTCTCATAAAACACTAGTAAAAAGTTTTGTCCGACTTTAACAACCCGGACAAAACTCGGGGGGTTCAACCGTAAACACGGAAGTCAGACCAAATTTAGTGGAGTATTTTTCATTTGAAATTAGTATAAGTTTTGTTAGTTCCAGCAAAGCTTAGCTTTAACCAGTTCCGCTTGTCTTTTTTTCTTGAGGTCCATTTATTACATAATGATCATCAAGAGTCATAACTCGAGGTTGATTAACCATGATCGAGTAATAATTAGAAATTTCTATGCGCTTTTGTTGTGTTGCCTTTTTTAAACAGCACCTTGTTTAATTTAAATCCTCCTTCCATTCAAGAACTATGTCATAGTAGTGCCAAAATATTTAAGCTCAAGGAAAAAGGAACTCTTGTATGTTAACAATCACACCATCCCGAGTTTTCGAATTTTGCTAGCTTGCTAGGGAGCCGCATAAGTTGGAGATATATTGCCATATTTTCATGATTTCCGATCCCCTGGATCATATATGTTTTGTAGATTAATTAATCATCAGGCATCTTGATGAAGCCATTCCTAATTTCTTTAGTGAAAGCGAGTCTTGGTGCCGTACGCATAATTGTGTCATTGACTTAGAATGAAAGGTTGATTAATGCTTGTGTTAATCTCTAAACTGCTGCTGCATGCTAGCTAATCACTTATTCCAAATTTCTAATATAATAACTTAATAGAAATTGCTCAACAGGTGGCGGGAGCTGTCAACTGGATGTGCAGTACAAGTAGGTTCATCAAAAACCTACACTCCATCAGACAGCGACTCTGGTACAAAGCTTAGAGTAACCGCTGTTGTAACTAAAGATGGTGTTCCTGTTTCCCCTGAAATAATCTGTACGACTGCCCCAGTCATCAAACGGCCTCCACCAGATTTTCGTAAAATGATCCGACTTGGATCAGAAGAGGGATCTACAAGTATGACAGTCATATCATACAACATCATGGCGGATTTCTTGAGACTCCCTCACGGAAATAGTAGCCATTGCCCTCCCTGGGCACTCTCGTGGGCATACCGCCGAGAAAACTTATTCAGAGAGATTGGCTCTTATAGGGCAGATATAATATGCCTACAAGAGGTAAACTGTAGTCATATACTTATTTCCCTTAATATTTGTACTCGATATTATTGCCTACTAACTTTTGATTGTTGAAAATGACAGGTACAAAGTAATCATCACTATGGTTTCTTCAATAAAGAATTTGACAAGTTAGGTTATTCTTCCATCTTTACAAGGAGAATCAGCCAGGTTTGTTCTCTTCATTTTAGTGTTTACAAATTCAAAGCTCTTTCTCATCCCTTTGCAAAACTGCAGCTACGGATGGGTGATGAAGATGGAATGGACGGGTGTGCCATATATTTTCAACGTGACCGGTTCCAGTTAGTTGCGCAATATAAGGTGAGAATCATGTAACTTCAAGCTCGTAGTATTAGGTTCTGAAGCATGAGATTCACATTTAATGTTCTCTTTTAAGATTAAGTATGCTGAATGCGTATTGCCACTACTACAAAGGTTTGAACTTGATGAAAGGGTGCAGGTCAGCCGTCGGCTCATGAAGGTCTTTCTATACTTTCATTTTGAATTTTTATTTTTCTTATGGAGAAGTTTTGTTAATATATATGAAGTTTTAACCACTCTAGGATAATGTAGCAGCGGTTGCCATTTTGGAGGAAATAGAAGACGCCAAGTCGAAGATATGTATAGTATGTGTGTTAATCAATTTTTCATTTTTTAAAAGAATGTAGGCAGTATAATTTTGATGTGCATTTTTAACATGCAATTTGTTGGTGCATAGGCAAATACCCACATCTACCGTGGCTCGGATAATGATCGTAAAGGGTCTGATGTCCGGTTATTTCAGGTAAGTCCTTTGTCATTTGGTCCCTTTCTTAATTGATTTGTGCATCTAGTTATATGAGAGAATTTATCATCTTTGAAACTAGCTAGGTTTCTACCCTTCTAAAGGGCCTTGAAAAGTTTCATTCACTTGGCATTCCCATAATACTTTGTGGCGACTTCAATAGTACACCTAGAAGGTTTGTCTTCTTTAATTTTAACAACTTTATCTTACTTCTTCATAGCATTCCCTTGTCTAACAACTCTTTGTCGAACTAAGTTAGAGCGACAGATGTCACTCTTTTTTTGTTAGGCGGAATGAATCTGACCTTGCTTAGGTTCGTAGTTGGTTTTGATATCATGACATTGCGTTTGTTTCAGTGAGACCCATCAATATATTGTCAATGGAAAAGTTGAAAGTTTTGATCAAGACCCTTTGGGCATCAAGAAGCAGCTCGACCTCAGTCACTCATTGCACCTAGTATGATATCATTATCATTTGGATTCATTTTTGTTTTGTGAAGTTGGATATATACTCTCGTTTCTCGCAGTTTTAGGCCTCATGTGTACTTTTTATTCATATGCTCTTGTAGGCAACCGCTTATGACACATACGGGTTTGATGAGCATAATCCCTCGAAAATAAGTTGTGGAAGAATTTTGGATTATATCTTTTACTCTGGTAATTAAGTTAGTTATTTTGTTGGTGGAAGTTAATTATTAAAGGTCATGATATTTGAATAAAACCTCATCAATTTCTTGTTAATTACAGAAGAACTGTTGAGTGTTCAAGGCTTGCTCGGACCTCCAGATTATGAGAACATGTGTAAGAGTTTCCTACTTTCCCAAAGATGCTAAAACTCATTACAAAAAGATTACAGAAAACAAAGATCATTGATTTGCTCTTTTGTTGGTTGGGTAGTGAAAAGGTTGAAGGATGAGAGGCTGCTAGCACCTCCCAATTATGATCGCACCCGGAAGCTTTTCCCTTCACCATTTTGGTCATCCGATCATCTTGCACTTGGAGTCACTTTTAAGAGGATGATTCTCTCTGAGTCAGAACCAAAACTCCCATCCCCTTTTCTGGATCCTTGGAAATGAACATTTGGACAATCCAGGTGATAATTTAAGAGGGACGAGGTGTATAAGCGGACATTAACGTTTTCACTTTGGAGAATATTTCATGATGTTTTCTGCTTGAAGGTCGGCCAATGACAAGAGAGCTGGTTGGTTATCATTTTTCTTGAAACTCTGAAATTTAGAAAATGGATGGGCATTTGATTACTGTTGGAGAACTGCTTTATGGTATGTCATGCGCCCGTGGTCTGAAATTCGTTTAATCCAAATCCAAGTCAGACAGGTCCTTCTCGCGAGACAAAATTCTCCCTGTAAATATTTTAATTATGTGTCAACATACAGTTTGCAATGTAGATGTACAGCTTGTTGACGCTTGAAAGGTTGCTATACATATGGTTTTGATGAATGTTTGGAAAAAGAGCAGAATGAATCAAGTTGTAATGTTTTCTGGCTTCACTGCCTACATTTATCACGTGTTGAAAGAGTGATATTTATACAAAGGACTAAGGATGTGTGAACTAGGGCACACTTTGGTAATTACCATTCATCATCACATATCTAATATTCAACAAACCAGACTTACTAAAGTAGGTCTATAATTTCGCTGAGAAGGCCTAAACCAACAAGGTTCACTAGAGTATCCTTCAATAGACGGGTCAACATTTCACCTGGTTTGTCCTCCTCGCCTATCTGATCATCAATCTTCTGGTCCTGCTCTATATGATAATCTGGTGTGAAATCAGGGTTAAAAATTCTTTGCTAAGGTCCCTAATTTTCAAAACCCAAGTGTAATTCAATCTTGTAAGCAATTTTCATGGCCACATTAACCAGTTTGAAACAATGTTTTCTTTACCCTGTTTCCCCTGCTCTCTTTGGTGGTTGGTTTCTGGGATTTCTTTTGTTGATGAAAAGTTTTATTCTTTGCAACTAATTTGGTAATTGTCTCTAAACTGCCAGTGCTAGTCATCAATTGGGCCACTGAATGAAGCCCCACAATACTTATTCCTTTCCTTTATATTATATACGATAATCATCGTTAATCTGCCTGCGGAAACTGGTGCAGAAGTAATGGCGCCAAAGCCAATGGAGGAGCCCTTGGTGGCGTGCAAGAAGCGCAAATCAAAAAACAAGGTAAAGGATCTTTCTTCGGATTAGGGAATTCTGTGCTGTACGAATTGTGTTCCACTGAGTTCAAAAATCCCTGAAAAGAGGGTTTTTTTTTTTCTTTTTTCTTTCGTGTGATTTCCTCTGGATTCCCTGAAGAGGAAGTAAAGGCAACCACGCTCGAGGAGGAGAAGAAGAAGAAGAAGAAGAAGAAATCTTCTCGAAAATTGGTGAGAAAGAACCCGAAAACCAAGAAAGTCGAAACGGCGACCACTACTTTGGCTTTTGTTTTCAAAACTGGGGTTATGTTAGCTACTGATCATAAGCCAAGTGAGTTTTTATTGACCTGATTATCGGTATATAATATATATGTTTATGATCTATAAATGTTACTACTAATGACTAACTTCGTATTAGTTTGATCTATGCTTCTTGCAAATTTTAGGTTGACTAACTATTGCTGGGTGGGACGACGAAGCTTTCATAGTTTCTTTCATGAATTATTATTGCCTTGGTTTATTGAATTATTTCTAACTTTTTTGTAGCATTGAGAGAAACTATCTTTGTTTTTGTAGGGCTCCTGAAATCATTCACATTTGTAGTTTACCTGAAATGAAATATGAATTATTGAAGATTATTATCATGGATGGATGATGACTCAGCAAATGTGTCCAAAGGAAAAACGAACAAAAACTTCATTACTGATTTCACTTGAACAGTTGCTTCCTTTTTGTTTGTGGATTTCAATGGCTGAGCTTAAAGTATTGGCTGCTATATATCAAGATGATGATGATCATCATCACTCATCAGCGGCAGAGCAGCAGAGACAGAGAACTGTCTCCATTGCCTTTTTTCACTACATTCTCTCTACCAAGTGTTAGATAATCCCTCAAACAATGGCTGCTAGCCTGGAGGTTGATACCATGAGCAGGAAGCTCATAAAACCATCGATTCCAACTCCTGAACATCTTCGAAAACTCAGGCTCTCCTTGTTCGATCAGCTCGCGGTTCCCTGGTACTTCAATGTCATTTTATATTATTCAGGGCCTGATGATGATGAGAAAAAGATGAACGTTGCAGAAAGACGTGCCGAATTAGAGAAATCTCTGTCTGAGGCATTGCCTTCGCTTTACCTAATCGCCGGAAGATTCATCCAGGATGATTTCTCCATCGATTGCGGCGATCAAGGGGTGGAGTACGTGGAAGCTCAGGTGAAAGGCAAACTTTCGGAGTTTCTCCAATTAGGCCCTCCAATTGAGCTGCTCGATAAATTCCTGCCGTGGGATAACCCGCCTCCGCCGAAATCAGCCACAAGTCCACTCTTAGCTATCCAGGTAAATACATTTGATTGTGGAGGATTGGTTTTGGGCATAAAAATTTCCCACATTATTGCAGATGGTGGATCTTTGGGACAATTTTTGAATACATGGGCTACAACTTGCCGTGGAATACGTACTAATGGAGTTACTTTCAGCTCCAATTATGAACACTGCGTCGCTAAGCTTTTTCCTGCAAGAAATCCAGAAGAAGCCAAATCCCTTCCCCTGCTAAGAGTGCCAAAACAGACAGAAAATGCTGATACAATTAAGATCCAAACAGCCAGGTTCTTCTTTGATCAGGCAATCATGGCGAAGATCATAGAAAGCGCGGCCAGCGTGAAAGGCGCGTCGCCTGATGACCTCAAATCGACCAAAGTTGTCGTGGCGTTGGCGCTGATATGGAAAGGTTTCATGGCTCTGTCAGCCTCAAAACACGGACACACGAGGGATTCCGCGCTGTCCATCGCGATGAGCTTGCGCGGGAGAGTTAGTACTCTCAAAATCCCCGAAAACATCTTCGGGAACTTCTGCATTTCCGTCATAGTTTCTTTTGACGCGGAGAAGGATACAACTGAACTGTACGATTTGATCGTTCTAGTGAGGGACGCAATCAGAAGCACAATCGGCAGAGTCTCGCAGGCGAGCGACAGCGAAGAAGCCTCGTCGGTTTTGATCGAATGCAGGAGATCATTGTATGAGAAGTGGGATAAGGAAAGAGAAGGATTGATGGATGTTTACCTCTGTTCAAGCTGGAGGGGATTCCCATACCCAATGTATGGAGCTGATTTTGGTTGGGGAAAGCCAGATTGGGTAAGTGTTGGATCTCAGCATAGTCAAGGAGTTTGGATTATGGATGGAAGTAATGGAGATGCCATTGAAGTGTGGGTGAGCTTGGAGGAGAAAGACATGGAAAAGTTCAAACAAGATCCAGATATTTCAGCCTTCCTGTCTACCCAGCTCTAGTTGCCCTTTTCAGTTCAATGGATCTGTGTTTTGATTTGGCAACATGTCACTTCAAATTTCAATGCAATGATAAAGAATATATCAAATAATGTGTCTAGTTGGTGCATGGAGATTTGCAAGTTTCGTGCATCCGAAAGGCATGCAGACAATTTGATCTCATTCCATGGGTTGAGAGAATTGGGATCATTTGACTGATTATTGCGGAATCAGCATATTTGATTGTCAATCTCTGTTGAATTGAATCATTGATGATGTCTCTGCATGATCTTCAGTTATATGTATTACATTTTTTTTTTTATGAAAAATATTTTAGCTATAACCAAAAAGTTGACTACTAAAAAGATTTAAAAGGAAATTCAAATAAAATATGAAGAGAAAACATTTCTATATACCGTAAAAAAAAATTTTAAAAAATCATATTTTAAAATTTGTACATAAACTTAATTTTAAACTCAATATGAACTAGTTTTTTGGAGCAGGTATCTGGTATCATCTTCAATACTTCATGAGAATAATGTTTAACACTTTTGTTTTTTAACCTTGGTGCCATCTCTAGTGTATACAATTTTAAAATGAGGTGGTGAATGAATGAATTAAGCAATTTGACTAATTTTTTTTATCTTTGAAATTGACCACATTGTGTCAAAGCTGAGGCGGCTAGTTGAAAAGTTTAAGTAATTAATTAACACTAATTCCTATTAAATTATAGATTTAGAGTGATTGGTTACATAACTTACAATAATAGTAAGTAGTAATTTCAAAATTATAGACTTGTCGATGTATTTGACGTTTCCATGAATTTTTCAGCTGGCTGAATTACTACTTTTTTTAATTAGACTCTTCCTTACTTTAAGTTATCGTCAGGAACGTCAAGGTTACAGAATTATGTAGTACTCGTTTGTCTTAAAATAAAAAAGAAACTTATTCGTAAACAAAACAATGGTCTTAAAGTAGTTTTGAAATAAAATAACTCTTGAAAACAATGGATGTGTATTTTAATCATCATTTTTATAATTTTGTATCCTGACCAGTGACCACTATCTACAATCCCAATAGGCCTTACTTAGTCCTCCTTGCGTATTAGAAAAAAACATAATCCGTGTTATTAAAATTAATTAAAGCAATATAGGAAATTGAATTTTTTTTTTTTTTGGAACGAAAATTTTTAAAATGATGAATGACCTTTCAAATACATAACATTCGGATTCGTGTTTAGCTTTGGTGTTCATACTTATTTATACATCAAGTATAAAACTTTTACACGCATGGGGAAGGATATTTATTTATTTTATTTATTCTTGACCAATGACCACGAATCGTTCCGAGTTGACAAAGACACAAAATTATGGGGGAAAATAAGAAAAGAAAAGTAATTAAATTTGATACTACAATTATTTGCAATTAGTCAAAATGATTTGCTGCAGCGCCAACTTGATCGATGTCGTTCCCACGGCGCAGCGTCCGCGGGTCAAGTGGATTCCAGTCCTATATTATACGTGAGAGTTTTAATAATAATTACTATACTAGTCAATAAAATAACATGTGTTTACTTCCCTCGTCCCAAAATAATAATTTTGTTTTAATAAATTTAATACATTCGGCACAATAATTATTTTGAAACCAATAAACAATTTACCCTTACTTATAATTGGTTCGGGTCATATAAATAGATAAAAACTAAAATACACTCTTGTCTAGAAAAAAAAATTCTGAACGTTATGCTAAAGTACTAATAATTTTTTACTGTCATTATTTTGAAACGAATTGAGTATAAGTTTAGCAATAGTGAGAACAGTGGGGAGGTTGTCAAATTTGAGAATTTGTTAGCCATCTCCAATCTTGAAGACAATTTGGTAGTCATTATAAGATTTTTCTTTTGTTAAATATGGATTATTATAAGAAATTTTTCAATTGAAAATAAAACATTAAAAATATTTTTTATATTTATTGTGTTCTCTTAATTATTATAATTTAAAGGTTCTATTTTTAATTAAAAAATATAATTAAACAAAATTTATGAGAAATCAAAATGTCTTATAATAAAATCAGAATACACAACTGGAGGCATGGGAAATCGGGAATCGGTCGGTGGTCCGGCTTTGCCAACTTAATCAAGTAGGCAGTCCTTTTTCTGAGATTCTGTTTGTATCACTTTCGATTGGGTGATGGTCGGTAATAAAAGCCCTTGGCGACTCCATCCATGATCTTTACATACATCACCAACTCCAAAATGTGCATCTCGTGTGTTTCTAGATTTCGCCATAATTTCATCTTTAAAGGTTCGGTATTGAAACGTTGCGACACCCTCATGGAGAAAGTCAGAAGCCGAGAAAGCAAAACTTCCTTTCATGTGTTTTTTTTCTTAAAACCATAGTGGTTACTTCTCGTCCCATTTTAATAATCGGCTTTGTTATCTTATTGATGAAAAGTGATCGGTGTGACAATCGAAAGTAATAACCGTATATCAAGTTGTAATCTGTGTCCAACGAGTCCATCGTTTTACGTTTACAAATTCTCTTGTACGTAGTTTGATTAGTCTTCACATTGGACCTTCTAGGTCAAATCTGTGTACAACTGTGTTCGATATTACCAAGCACTTTCATGTTCATAGGTTATTATTTATGAACCACCAGCATATTAAATTAATTCAGGACTTAAAATATACTAATAACCATTTTTTAATAAAAGAATAAAAAATGATTAGAACTCGGGATTTGGTGCTCCAAATTTTATACTCCTATACTAACTCCAACCGAATCCAATCACATATCTTCATAGTACGAAAAATTGATTGTTTAATTGCAAATTGCAACTCTAGTTGTGAGGATGATAAGGTTTTTAGTATATTAAATACATGGGAAGCATCCTCAACAAGACAAGTCGTTTGCTCCTACGTAAACAACTCAAATTACTGCAACTCCCATACTAGTCTGCTACCCCCCAACTTCACTCATGACTCCAACCCCTGCCTAGTGTACCACGTGCGTGCTTCTTTTGGGGGGTATTTTTTTTTTTTATTTTTTTAATCCAGTCCTCCGAGAACCCAATCATTCGGAATGCTCAATTTGTATTAAACAATAAAATTTTATTTATAATTATGATTTGGTAAGTTTGATGATTATTCGTACAAATATTTATTTTTCTAATATATTTCTTATGTTCCAAAATTATTGTCTAATTTAAATTTTCAGTTTTAATTCAATTTGTAAAAAAATGAAAACCAAATTAGACAATAATTTGGAGACGAAAAGAGTATCATTATTGGATTGCGTGAGCGTGATCATTTAGACCTATCATCCAACCATTCTTGTCTATTAAGAACTGCGTGTATTACTTATTATGTATTAATCGTATTTTACTAATATTATTACAACTGGCCTATAAGTGAAACAGAGTGCCGAATGATTTCCTTTTACTTCATTGAAAGGTGCAGCTATATATAAACCTCATCATCTTCATCAGGAGAGAACTAGGAAGGTTATTGCAAAAAACACTTCCTCTTTTGTGATTCACCATCTTCCCAACCTTTGATTAAAAAAAAACCACCATGCCTTCAAAAATGTCAAGTGACCTGGAGATTCAAGTCCTAAACTCTAAGCTGATAAAACCATCAAACCCAACTCCACCTCACCTTCAAAAACTCTACCTCTCTCTGTTCGACCAGCTCGTGCCTCCTGTGTATTTCAGTATCATTCTATATTACTCCGGGCCGCCGCCGTCGCCGGCCGATGATCGGAGCGTACCCACTATTGCAGAAACACGAGCTCGATTAGAGAAAACGCTGTCGGAGGAGCTGCCTTCCTTTTTCCCACTTGCCGGAAGGTTCATCCAGGATGATTTCTCAATTGATTGCAATGATCAAGGGGTTGCCTATTCAGAGGCTCAGGTGAGTTCCAAGCTTTCCGATTTCCTCCGGCAAGGACCCCGGATCGAGTATCTCGATAAGCTTCTGCCTTGGGAATCCCCACCGGCATCAAAATCAGATGCGAGCCCTCTCTTGGGAATCCAGGTAAACACATTTGATTGCGGAAGCCTGGTTTTGGGCATAAGCATTTCCCACATCATTGCAGATGCCGCTTCTTTGGGACAGTTTCTGAATTCCTGGGCAAGATCTAGCCAAAATTGTTCGGAAATGGCGTTTTATCCGAGCCCAAATTTCCATCACGATATCGCAGTTCTTTTCCCTGCAAGAACTTCAGCAGAGGATAAGGCCACACTTCCCCTGCCTCCAACACCAAAGCCCAAAGAATTACAATCCAATAATTCTCCAGATAAGATCGTGACAACCAGATTGTTATTTGGTCAGGAAACCATAACAAAGATCAAAGAAAACGCAGCCAAATCCAAAGGGCCAGATTCGTCGATTTCGGATATCAAATCGTCGAAAGTTGTCATCGCATTAGCCCTGTTATGGAAATCTTTCATGTCTCTGGCAGCCGGCAAACACGGGTACACGAGAGATTCCGTGATAGCAATTGCAATGAACATTAGAGGGAAACTCTCTCTACAGATCCCAGAAACCTGTTTCGGAAATTTCTGCGTATCGATCGTCGTACCGTTCGAGGCAAACAAGAACGGTAACAAGTTGCCGGAAGTCTACGATCTGATTAGTCTCTTGACGGAAGCGATCAGGGATATGAACAACAGGATTTACAAAGCGAAAACCGTCGAAGAAGTGTCGTCAATATTGATCGAATCGAGGAGAGGATTGACGCAGATATGGGATCAAGAGAGGAACAGATTGATAGATGTTTACCGGACGTCGAGCTGGCGTGGGTTTCCGTTGTACGAGGTTGATTTTGGTTGGGGGAAGCCGTTCTGGACGAGCGTCGCAACCCAATGGGGACAGGGAGTTTGGTTAATGGATGCCAACAATGGGGATGGGATTGAAGTTTGGGTGAGCTTGAAGGAGGAAGATATGGCGGAATTCAAAAGGAATCCAGATATTTTAGCATTGCCGGTTCCGACATCGGTAGTATAGTATAGTAGATTAATTTTGCAGGCCTCTCTCTCTGTTCTTGGTTAATTCTTACATTAGTTATCTCTACATATGATTAATGATGTGTAATAATCAGAAATATTCACATTTGCAATCATCTAACTCATTTTTATGGTCACCAAAATCTTAAGCGGATTATATTTTTATCCCTCTTACCCTATTAAAGCAGAAGACATGAAACTTATGTGCCAATTACGTGTGCATCTATTTTGGCTCTAATGCACCATATTTCGATTTGGAGTCTTTTCACACGTGTAGTCTCTTTTAATTGAAGCTATATAATTCTTTTTTAAAAAAACACATGTTTTAGATGTGACACTTATCCAATGAAAAATTCTACAAATAAGAATCAGTTACATTTCAAACGAATGGATATATTAATTCAAATTCAAATGTCCAATCGTACAGTTTTGCAGGCTTAATATAAACAAAAAATAAAAAAAACTAAATCCAGTAATTAAGAATAATGCATTATAAACTAATTATTTATTATTCCCTTATAACCTCGATTTATAGGTATATTTTTAGCCCCAAACCATAGCATAAATGATATATACGCCAAATTAATTCCTCAAAAAATAGTAATTCAATTAGATTTTAATAAAATAGTAATTTAGAAGGGGCACCCGGACATCTGCCTGAGCCAAACATCTAGTTCTTATTAAAACATACGCAACAAAAAAAAAAAAAAACCGCATCAGTCGAATTGTCTCCGGTTATTGTATTGTCCACTTAGATTGTCCAATGACGATCATTTGGCTTGTACTACCACTTATGGAGTTCTGTTAATGAGCGGATGTTTGGCCAATATGGTGGGGATGGCAAGATATTGTCATTTGGTGGATTATTTTCATGTGATGTTACCATCTTTTAGCTGCATTCCATGATTCAGCTTTGATTGAACGATCTATAGCGCTTCACACGTCTTTCAATTTTGTTTTTTATTTGTAATTTTATATTCTCCCAATAATTGTACTATTTTTCTTTTCTTTCTCTTTCAACGTGACAAGTGAAAAAAGCAATGTGACAAATTAGTATTTGTCACCATGTGAAATCCACCATATGAAGTCACACATAACAATCAAGTTTTTGCCAAGTGCAAAATGACTCAAGTCACTCAACCACTCTACATTATTTTTTTTGCATTCGTGATAGTGGCTCCGGATTAATGGCATTATTTATCTTTATCAAACACCATCCTAGCCTTTCAATGATTAGGCATTAAATGGGTCACCTTGTCAATTTTTATATACATGTTATCACAATTCACGTTTTTGTTTTCAAACAAAAATTATATTATATTACTTTTTACTGGAAATCGTATTAATATTGAGAGTTACCATTCGAACACAAATTACAATCAAACATATCACTATTGTTATCTTTCTTTTGGATAAACCATCTAGATTTACCTAATATAAAAATAGATATATTGCGTGCCAGATAATCAATCTGATAAAAAATATATCTCTAATCATCTGATGAATACCCGAACTTATAGATCTATCAAATAAATCTATGATAACTAAATTTTATCGAACCACACAGTGTGAAGTAACGAACGAAATCACGAATATCGCAACAACCATACGGAAGATACCAAAATACCACTTAAGATACCACGAGACCTGAAAAAAAAAAAAAACTTACTTTCTCAATTGATCACAAGTGACCTACTAAAAAACAGTACTTTGGGGATAAATCGCACTTATTATATGACGTAAAAATAATTAGAAATAAACAAAAAATCAATCAATTCCCTCATTCACCAATGACGGAAGATGGGGAAGGAGAAATTTTTTTTGGAGGTGATGCTAGGGTGGGAGGATAGGGAGGTCTGGCGTGGGAAAATAAATTATCACAATTCACATATTGGTGAAACAGTTTTTTTTTTTTTTTGAAATAAAAGACTTTAAATTAATTTTAATGGAATTTCCCCAGTAATGATTGACGAGAAAAAGATACAGCCACTAAAATATGAGAACTGCCTATATGCACAATATTTAATTTAAAATTATTGCCTTCACTACTATTCAACTGATCTAGATCAAGATCTATTTAGTTAAATTCTGTAATTATCGGACATGTTGTATACCAAATTATAATCTTGAACACATTACTTTTCTTCTAATTAAAACTCCATTTCATGAATCTAATGATTAGATCTATGATAGCTGCATCTTCTTGGACAAGAATCACAATCAATAATCCAACGACCATCGATCGACGAACAATTTCGAATGACTCCTACAATCAACAGATTAATATCTACTGAAAGACTCCAACACGATCAGTAGATTACGATCTACTAACGGACTAAAAGTTGTAGATAATCTCACTTATTAATAAACACCGAAGCAATAACAAGAAGATTGAACAAACATCCATGATGAGAAGATGGGGGAAGAAATAGTGGTGGAGCCACATTGAGCGCTAGGGCTATTGCCCTAGCTGAAACTTTTTGAAATGCCCCTTATATATTACTAAAATTAAAAATTTACCCTTAAATTTCAAAATAAATATAGTCTTGCCCAATAACATTTACATGTAGTATTTTTGCCTCACCTCAGAGTAGAGACTTTGCTCTGCCCCTGGAAAGAATTTTTTTTTAGGGTTTAGGAGAAGGCGGCTGAGAGAAGGAAAGGGTAGTTTCTATGATATTAGAAAATGATGTTAAACTTCGGTTTATTGGTGAAACAGTTTTAATTTACTTTACATCCCTTCATTTTAATTGGTTCAAGTGTTTTTTTTTTTCTTTTTGAGATAAAACATATCAACTGCATAAATAAGCCTGAATTTAGCTAACACTGAGTGATGACTAGTTTAGAGGCGAGACCAATAGGTATCCTTTATCATCCAAGATTTTGGATTATTAGCAATTTTCATGACAACTACATTTTCCAACCGACTAACTCTAAATAAGATATCATTTTACACAAAATAACCCCACAAAGGACGTGATTACTGCACCAATTGAAGGACACGGTAATTTTATTAGGACCGATTTGGCAATTACTGTGTTCTCGACACAATAAACGAATTGGATAGCTTTAAATTGATCGGGAAATGCTGGGCTCAATTGGAAATTGGGAAGCAATTATTTTGCTCAAAACCAAAAGAAGAGATAAGACTAATTTTTTGGAGTTCCATTGGGGATGGAGAAAGTAGATGGGAATATATGACATATCAACACGTTGACGTTCCATGTTATATATGAAAGTCGATGCGTAACGAACTTGACCCTAACTAATATTTTCTTCTTCGATCAAATTGATCTATCTGTTTGCGTCTTCAAGCGTGTTACTTTCTTCTATCTATCTCACTATCTGATATTTTTAATGATGTGGTCAATAAAAAAATTTATGTCAATAATGCAAAGCCCGATATATCGTGTCGAATTCTATAGATTTAAGTATGGATCCTCTGTTGATGCAAAATGTAAACAACCGACTACGTACGTGCACGCAAAACAGTTATCATTACCAAAGCAAAAAGAACCACCTTTGTTGTCATCAAACATCCGGAAACCCACTCTGCTTAATGCCAACTGTTCTATTTCAACAGAACTGTTTGCAAGACCCTTTTTTTTTTGCCCCCAGGGCCATGAAAAATGGTCTTTTCATTTCAAGATCTTTGATCTAAAACAGAAAGTTTAATTAAACATACAAAAGAACGAAAGAGATAAATACTTTTAGTAGTTAGATGCGCCTCCCTTCTGTTTCGTTTTAATATGGACACTAGACAACTAGTCATTTTGTTAATTCGGAGCATTTATAAGCCATCTTTTTTTTTTCCTATTTTATTCTTTAATATGGATAATTCCATGAAAACTGCTATCGAGTGCAATTTATTGTTATAACAATAGTGCAACGCAATGGCCAAGAAAGAAGGGCCTTCCCCTAAAAAAAAAAAAGAAATACATTTAATTTCATATGGGCCGATGACACACGTATCAGATATTAAACTGATTTACAGATGTGGGAATTGGGATAATTAAACACCAGCTATGCTTATTCTCGAATCAGTCTATCAGGCTTCAACTGCAACTTCACAAAATGTTTATCACCTTAGCTTAATTGCTCATTCAAACTGGAAGCAAATTTCAGCAGAGACGTCGAAAAGTCATTTTCAGATGAAGATTTCTCTAGATTACGTTCGGCATCCAAACGGTTGCTGGCGTATTTCTAAGGGATTTGATCTAAAAACATTTGTGCTGCAAGAAAAACTTTTCATCGTTAATCTAAATCCACTAGTGATGAGCAATTTAAAATTTCGGAAATTGCATGACGAGTTTAATTGTTATTTCCTCCGTCCCACAATAATTGAAATTTTGTTATTAAGTTATATTGTTTTAGTGGTAATAAACATGACTTTGGGAATAACTAATAAGGGAGTATCTTAGAAATATTGCTTAGCTTCAAATAAAACAGCAACTGTACGCATCTATGTAACCAAAAGTAGCAGCTCAGAATGAAGCAAATGGGGTATTTTCACTTGATGGAATAGTAACATAATTACAGATTACATAGAGGAATTGACTTTCATAAATTGGTACATCGTACATTTAGCAATGACAAGCAAACCAAGAAGGGGGTGGGAAAGGGATTATAAAATTTGTTTTTTTCCTTTATTTTTTTTTTGCTGATTATCACAAAACTGTTGCAAGAGGGCTGCACTCGCTATCATGTATGTTGCGCCAAACCCATGCTGATTATAAAAATAGAGAGAGAGAGAGAGAGAGAGAGAGAGAGAGAGAGAGAGAGAGAGAGAGAGAATAAGAAGATAATATTATGAAGATTAGCAAGATTAAAGTTCGATAAGTAATAGATGTAGTTGAATAATGCTAATAATAATTAGAAAAAAGGGATCTAATAGAATAAAACATTTTTTTTTTCATAAGAATTCAGTGTCTATTCAATTCTCTCATTCATATGTTTCATATTATAGTCAAATAGTACACGCGCTCAAGCTCTAACTGGGAGTAGTGTACTTATTTAAAAATAAGAATATGAAGGAAATTTCGGAGTATTTGATCAAGTCAAAGTCTTTTTTTACTAATAATTGATTCTTTCAGCAAATACAATCGTCATCTGAAAACCACCAAAGATTCACTATATTTGATCATCTTATTTGACGTCATGAGGAGTTTCAATCCTAAAAGAAGACATCCCATGAATATTTCGAATGAAAGAAAAGGGCATATCAGGTTGATGTTGCAGGCTGTGATCAAGCTTCTTCTTACAAGCATCCTAATTTCATTGTTGTTGAGTACAGTTGTCTATACAGAAACTCCGGTACCAAACAGGAAATTCTTTTTCAATGTTGATGATAAAGCTCCTCCATCACCGGCAACCGCCCATTTGATCAGGGATGTTGCCATAAACTGTGGCTCTGTTGGGAACTCAACAGCACGTGATGGTCGTGAATGGATTGGAGAATCAGCCATGGCAGGCATATCAGGAGAATCAATCAGCTCTGTTGCTGTCCAAATTTCAATCCTCCGAGGCGGTGCCGACTCTGTTCCTTACAAGACTTCAAGAATCTCTGCCACTGAGTTCAGGTACACATTCCGGGTGATCCAGGGTCAAAAAATCATCCGTCTACATTTTTATCCTGCTTTCTACCGTGGTTTTGAGAAATTGATAGATTATTTCAGTGTCAAAGCCGGCCATTTTACCCTCCTCAGGGACTACAGTGCTTCACTTGCTGCCCGAAATTCGGGTGTCAAGTTCATTGTTAAAGAGTTTTGTTTGAATGTAGAAGGACACCAACGATTAGAATTAACATTTTCACCTTCTCCTTTGATTGACAAGTCAAATGGAAAAACAACATACGCTTTCGTGAATGGTATTGAGATCATTTCCATGCCAACTGGTCTTTATTACACCCCTGAGCAAGATGTGTTAGGAGCCCGAATCGTTGGTCTAAGCAATAGGTTCTACATTATAGATACTAACACTGCTCTTGAAGTGAAGCATAGGATCAACATTGGAGGGAACCCCCTAAACGCGATGGAAGATTTTGGATTGTTTCGCCGGTGGGATGAGGATACCAGTTACTTGCTCGACCCCAGAGGTCGTCAACTGAGTCACCGGGCGCTTAAGTATAAGAACATTCCAGCATTTGTCGTGCCACTGAAAGTTTACCAGACATCCCGGAAAATAGAGACAGAATTATACCACAGGCTTTATCACCTTACATGGAAAATACCCATAGATTTAGGATTTGGATATCTTGTGAGACTTCATTTTTGTGACTATAGGATGTCAGAGAGAGGGGTAAGAGAGTTCAGTGTCCTTATAAATAATAAGATAGCCGAAACATGGGCCGATGTCATCAGGTGGAGTGGCGATGTTGGGATCCCAATATACAAGGACTATTTAGCGATAATGGATTATCATGGTGATGAAAAAAATAGGAACCCTTATCTCATGGTTCGCCTTGAATCTGAAAATGATTCTATTTTCGAACTCCTTAAAGGGATGGAAATCTTTAAGTTGAGTGACCTCGAAAACAATTTAGCAGCTCCGGACCTGGTGGATCCTAAAGGACTGTTGTTGACCTCTTGGAACCTGAAAACTGAGACTTTGTCCATAGAAAACACAATTGGCGTGGCCGTGACAGTCACCGCTATTCTGATGAGCACTATAGGCTATGGGTTGGGGAAATGTTGGGAAAACAGTAACATCGTTGGAGAAGGCGCAGATTCAGCTTCAGTTGAACTCTGTCCTCGTTACTTCTCGCTTGCTGCGATTAAGTTAGCTACGCAGAACTTTAGCGATGGGCTAGTCATAGGAAAGGGTGGATTTGGTAAAGTTTATAAAGGTGTCATTCCTGGCGATCCTGGTATTGTTGTTGCTATAAAAAGGTTGAATATGTTCTCCAGGCAAGGAGCTAACGAGTTTCGGGCTGAAATTGAAACACTTTCAAAGCTCCGCCATATTCAACTTGTGTCCCTGATAGGATATTGTGATGAATCCACGGAAATGATCCTTGTTTATGAGTACATTCCAGGCGGCACTCTTGCTGACAATCTTTACAAATTTGCCAGAAAGGGAAAGGACTGTGTGCCTCTTAGCTGGGAACAAAGGGTAAAAATCTGCATTGGTGCTGCTCGTGGATTGGAATACCTCCATACTAGTGGTGAATATGGAATCATACACCGTGACATTAAGGATACAAACATCTTGTTGGGAGAGAATTTCGTAGCCAAGATTTCTGACTTTGGCCTATCCAAGCTGGAAAAAGTTACAATGTCTAAGAGTTACGTTAGCACAAGAGTTAAAGGCACACTTGGTTACCTGGATCCAGACTATGTCACGAACCATAGATTGACGAGAAAAAGCGATGTATATTCATTCGGGGTTGTAATGTTGGTAGTTTTGTCAGGGAAACCTGCACTGGATTCCAGAAATTGCGGAGAACCAGAGAGTCTCTTGTCATGCTTCCGAGAATTTATGGCAGAATATGGTGATGCAAGTAGAATTGTTGATCCATGTTTGAAAGGGGATTTTTCATCGGAAATCCTTAAAAGCTTTGTAGAAATCGTTGAAAACTGCTTGCAACTGCAGCCCAATAACCGGCCTACAATGGCTCAAGTGGTGTCAAGTTTAGAGCTGGTGCTGAAGGATACTCAAAACCAGACAAGATCCGATTTGGTGGATTCCAGAATTCAATCATCTTGTTTGAGTCACCATGAAGCCAGTACCCCGGAGCAAAGTGTCATTTCTCCACCGGCTGAAATAAACCCTGGAAAAAACTTGCAGCGAAGAAGAAGAGAGTGGACTACAGTTCTAAAATCGTTATTTGGTTGGCTATGGAAAGTTGGGAATGGAGGTAAGTTACTATCCTCCCCCCCACAAAATAACATCAACAGTCATTGTTCTGTGAACATTTTCATCCTCTCGTCTATGTTAAAGGAGAGTAAAAGATGCTTACTGAACTTAAACAATGTCCTGTTTATGGTGTATGCAGAGAAAAATTTCGCTGGTGCACCAGTGAACCTGATTAATGATGTCCCTGGTGAAGGTAATATTTTTCCTCAACTACTATGGATATATAAAATCATAAGATATAGCAAAGCTGATTCCTATATGCAACAAAACCATTCTTCAATCATGCACGAGGTACACCTTTCTAATGCTGGTAATACGTGAAAGAAACTGGCCAGAAAAGAGAAAGGAACCGAAATTGTGATTCCAAAAAACATAAAAGACTGTCTTCAAACAGTGTAACATTTTCAATTTGCTTCAGGCTTTATTTGTCCATTACATAAGAATGAGTCTACATAAGAATGAGTAGAAAATGAAGAAGTTGTTGCAAAGGCTTCAAACTAAGTCCATGCATTCCCCTAAAAAAAAAAAAGACGAAATTCAAGTAATGCTACTTAATTCTGGAGAGAAGCACTGATGTCCTTGTAGAGTTTTGGTTATTCTCGCGGATTTTAGGATATTATTAGACACATCAATATATTGTTGGGGTTTCTACACGTTGAAAATGAACTAAACGAATATCAAGAGTCGCACTTGCTGGCAGTTCTCCAACATTTGAATGTGGGAATTGAAGGTTGAGTAGCTTGGGAAATGACCAACTCATTAATACCCATATATACACAACCAAAGTATCACCACAGAAACGTAATAGATTTTGATACTGAAGAAATTGATAGGGCAATAACACTTTCACTCTTGCAGAAGAGGAAGAGAGAGCTGCTCAAGAAGATAGAAAGTCTACTTCCGAAGATCATGAAAAATCTGTTTCAGAAGAAGACGAGAAATCTATAGCAGGAGAAGATAAGACATCCACAGCAGGAGATGGTAAGACATCGATAGCTGATGAAGATCATCAGGAAGTTGTCGAACAAAAAGATGTGAAAGGGAAAAAAGTGGTTGGTAAGTAACTTGGGCCTTTGAGTAGTACTGTTGGCTTGAAAGTTCCGGCAACTGATGGATTCTTGTTTTCTGCAATTCTTTTACATTAAGAAATACAGTGTAGGAGCTTATGATTTTTCTACGAACTCTAAGTCTTTGCTGCAACTTTTTAGCTGGTTTGATGTTTAATTGTAAAACCTTGTTTCATACTCCCTCTGTTGAAGAAAAATAGTCCCCACGTTAAGTCCAAATAGAACAAAGTGGACCAATTTTCTTAGACGGAGGGGAGCAAACACTGGTGTCATAATGTGATTCATGTCCTGAACTTTGTGTTTAATATCAGAGGATGCCTCTCACTTGAAAGATGATGATGAGCAACTTTCAAAGGCTTGTCAAGAAAGTTTCAACTTGGGATCTCCACCTTATCCCCGCCCTCATGATTCCAGAAGTTTAGGTCCATCCAATCAGTCCAATCCATCAGAACACAGGTACCTGTGTACTATGTTATTCTATTCTTAGATCAACCATCACACCATACCATCCTCAACTGAGTATCAGAGAATTGCTTAGATGTGTGATCGTGTTTGTGTCTCCATGTCTGTGTGTGTGTGTGCGCTTTTAGTTATTCCAAAAATGCTTGTCCTTGTTTTAATTGTCTGCTTAAAAAACATTTTCTTCAAACGAGAACAAAGCAACCCTCTTTTTTTGCATCAAAGTATGAAATTTGCTAATTTCTTGCAGACATTTATAATTGATATGACCAATGTGTATATATACAGGATCTGTGCTGGTTGCAAGGCCGAATTGGGTCATGGGCGATACTTGACTTGCATGGGTGCTACTTGGCATCCCAAATGCTTTATGTGCCGTGCTTGTGGAGAACCAATATCTGATTATGTGGTCAAACTCTTACTAGAGCTACTAAGAAAACTCTGGATCTTTGTTTCTGAAACATCCTCTTAAGCTTGCCAAGAATGCTTACTAACAGCGAATGATTGTAAAATCATCCAAGTGTGTTGCTATAACAGTTATTACAGTTAGATGACCAAACTAATTGTTTTTCTGGTTTTTTTGGCAGTTCTCATTGTATGATAATCAGCCACACCACCAATCCTGTTATAAGATTTTGTACCATCCTTTTTGTGATGTCTGCAAAGATTATGTAAGTTCATCAGTCTAATGCTTGATTAAAACCATCTTTAGTATACATCTTCCTTTTTTTTTTACTAGTAGGGATATATGCAAGGGATATTTGTAAGGAATGATAGGGCTAAAATTTATCCATCCATCCTAACCTTCAACGGATAAACCATATGGTTAACAAAAGTGGGCGTAGGTTATTTAATCAACATCTTTCCTTACAACTTTTCCTTCTAAATTATCCCTCTAATGTCTTCTTCCACAAGTTTTCCTTCTCTGTATCTTCTTGCAAGTCTGATTTGGGTGACATGAATAACCTTTGAATTTCTGAATGATCTTACTCAAAAAGAAATGAGATAATACTTCAGTTCTTGGTCTTGTACTTTATTTCATTTAAAATTTGTTCTAACCCTGTATTTCCTTTCTTACATAATCCAAGTAGATCCCTACAAATTCAGCTGGCTTAATTGAGTATCGGATGCTTCCTTTCTGGCAACAAAAATTCTGTCCATTGCATGAGTGCGATGGGACTCCGCGCTGTTGCAGCTGTGAGAGAATGGAGGCATGTTACGGGAAATATAAACTGTCTGAATAGAAAATGTCACATTAACTGAAGAACTTAACAAATTCTTGGGGAAGGAAAATAGAAGAGCATGATAGGCGTGAACTGTATCAACACAGTTGTGGTTATATTGATTCACATTTTCACTAGTTTGGACTGTTTACAACCGTGCAGACGGTGGATGGGAGATACTTGGCTCTTGGTGATGGTCGAAAGTTGTGTTTCGAGTGTTCAGTTTCTGCAATAATGGACTCTGGCGAATGCCAGCATCTTTACATTGAACTACAGAATTTCTATGAAGGTCTACAGATGAAACTAGAACAGCAAATTCCAATACTTTTGGTTGGGAGGCAAGCACTTAATGAAACTAGGGAAGGAGAAAAACAAGTAAGCACTAACTTGAAGAAGATATCATTGTTGTATTTGGCTGTTAAAAAATTAAAAAAAAAAAAGAAAAAGAAAAAAAATCCTTAAAGCTTCTATTTGTGTGTCTCCTCTGCATGATCCAGGGGCTTCACAATCTGCCTGAGACAACAGGACTTTGCTTTTCAGAAGAACGGGACGTTGGCACTGTACGAGTCTTTCCCGTGTCCATTACCTTTTCAAATTAATTTTATTGAAATTAGACTAGTTAGTTTCATCTACTGCATTCAGTTTGATTTTATGCTTGGTCAACCAAATACCAGATTTTACGGCCGCCTAGGAGGGTTGGTAGTGATGGAACAATTGGCATGTTCACCAGGCCAGCTGATATACTAGTCCGCCCATGTGAGGTGACTGCAATAATGATACTATCTGGTCTTCCCAGGTTAGAACTGTTTGTCCAGGTTTTTACCATGATACCTTGCTCTCTATAGACTATAATTATAATCAATTGATTTGTGTGTGCTCCGTAGGCTGTTGACTGGATCAATCTTAGCTAATGTGATGATGGAGGCTTGGCTAAGGCTTCAAGGTGATCCTTCTCTCTACTCCATTTTACAATCATATAAGCTCCTCCAAAAGTCTTCCTTCTCTGCCATTTTCCTTGACTAAAAAAACTTTTCCCTATAAATCTTTGGTGTCAGGTTACTCTCATTTAAGCCCAGAAGTTGAAAACGGTATTTGCCAGCTTTTAGCTTATAGGTGGCCTGATTCTCAAATCAATACTGGTTCTGGTAGTAGTAATGTGGCTTCTACTTCTTCCTCATCATCATCTACTGGCTCTTCAAAAAAGGAAATCCCTTCTCAATTTCAGAAGAAACTTGGCGAGTATTTCATGCATCGGATAGAATCGGATACCTCTTCAGCTAATATATTCAAACAAGCTAAAGAGGCCGTTGTTAAGTATGGACTGAAGAGAACCCTTGATTATACCCTGGTTACAGGATCCTTCCCATGAACGATTCCCCCCTGTACTGTATGTGTATGTGGGAGTACTTTAATACAGACTTCCTAAATAGATCGTAAGGCTTTGGTGCTTCCTCAATGAATCGAGGGGATTTGATTAGGTGCCTTACCGTACTTGTGGAACAGTAGCTGCAGATGACACCTTGTTATTTGGCTGTAAGCGTGGTGCATAATGTATCTACATTATTTGAAGTGTGGAAGCACTTTTTGCGTACGGTTAAAGACAAGTTGTGGGTTGAAACCACTGACGTGGCAAGGTTTGGTTGGACCGTTTCTTCTCTTTCCTATCTTTTGTTTTCCTTTGTGGTGACAGTTTATTCCGGTTGGCAATCTCTCCTCTTCTCTTTCGTTTTTCCACAGCATATGGAAGAACTCCACCACCAACACACCATCTTCTGTAGAACTTCACACCACAAACCAGATCGATTTCATTAAAATTGACCTTTTCTTCGACTCTCTCTTCAGTCTTCCCTGCTTTTCCTCTTTCTTCAATTTCTTCTCGTTCAAATCTTTTTGCAATTTTGTTAGATCCAATGATATTATTGCTTCGGCGGAAAACAAAATTCGAAGTAAAATGTTTGGCGTGTGAATTCAAATCCGCTGAGCAGAAAAAGAAGATGATAATGATCCTGGTTTTAAATTTGTAAGTAAGTTTCTATTTGTATTTCTTTTTGGGTCAAACTAATTGGTGCTATGCCTCTGGAATTGGATTTTGTAGTGTTATAATGATTATGAATTGGTTTGCTCATGAGTTTAGTTAAAAGCTCACCCCTCGTCTTAAGTCTCTGATTTGTTGTTCCTCCATCACTTCATGTCACGTTACAATTTTACTTGAGAGGTCATGCATGTTATGTGTTTGTTTATAGTCTCAAGAGAATAAGGAAAAAGAGATCGAGAACAATTTTTTTCTCTGATTTGCCTTTGTGAAAACTAAAATTGCTACAATTATCAATTTGATATTTCCTAATTCTGATGATGCGTGTTTGAATTTACAGTTGTAGCTAAATTTTTTTTGAAAAGTGTACCTGCTTATATTAGTTAAAGGAGTTTAAACTTTTACATTTAGTTAGATTATATGCTATATTATGCATCTCAGCTACAATATCCCAAGGAACTTTAGCTATAGAAAAAGAAAAGAAAGACTTGGAAATAGTACTAATCTCAGCAATTAATTCCTGAACTTCAACCGGTGATTGAGCGGGAATCAATTTGTTTGCTAAGAACTCACAATCTGTAAGCGCAAGGATGTGCTGGATGTCCATGTTTGCAGCTTCTTGTATGGCATACATCAGGGTCTGGGCTTCTGCTTGTAGGGGAGTAAGTGCAGGGAATTTCCTAGATTTAATTTGCTGAATCATTCCATGATTTGTGGTGATTTTCCATGCTCCCGCCACTTGCATTGATGCCGGAAAGAAAGATCCATCTAGCATGATAGTATGGCCCTGTGAGGCTATGTCGAGGTCATCCATCTTTGCTATCTCCTCTGTTTGGATCAAATTACCCCGATTTCGGTTCTATTCTTTCGTACAACGATTGAGATGCAGGTTGTAATCTTGTTTGATTGTACAATCACCCTGTCGATCTCTCTGTTGTGGACGCCAAACTTGGTTATTTCGCTCCTTCCAAATTTCCCAAAGAACAAAGATTGATAACTCAATTGCCATTGCATCAGGAGCTGTTTTGATCCACTCCAGGAATCAATCTTTGAAGGGGATGGCTTGACCTGTGTCGAAATTAAAACCTAAGCTCGTAATTCTCCAAAGCCTCCTTGAGGATGGACATTCCAGGAATAGGTGTGAAACATCTTCTGATTGCAACTAAAATCTCGGACATAAAATCCTCTGCTATTACTCCTCTTTTAAGCAACCCTTTTTTTTGTTGGAAGTGCATTATGAATTCCTCGCCAAACAAAGAGTTTCATTTTTGGAGGTATCTTGGTTTTCCACAAATGTTTCCACGCAGCGTTCTCTTGATGTATGGCACTTAAGTCCAAAGGGTATGCTTTATTGTAAGCTACCTTGTAGCCTGATTTAACAGTGTACATGCCATGCTCTGTTTCCGTCCAATGTAGTCTGTCATCCTCCTCTCTCCGCGTTGGATCAATGTGGATTCCTTAGATAAAAGGCAATATCATGGGGGAAGATCTTTCTAAGCAGTGATTTCTTCCAGGAGCCATTTGCATTAAGCAAGTTGGCAACTCTTAAATCAGTGTTTGTTGCCAGGATGGAATCACTAGCAGTTGGATTGTCCCGTGATGGGATCCAGTTATCGCTGATCTTAATGTTGTTTCCCAAAATTACTTTCCATTTGAAATTCTCCTTTAATAACTCATAGCCCCATAGGATGCTTCGGAATCCCCATGACATGGTAGTACCTTTCTCTGGGACTATGAAGCGTTTTCCTTTGCAGTATTTATCTCGAAAGAAACGTGGTATGAGGGAATTTGGAGCAGAGAGTATTTTCTAAGCATGCTTAGCAAGTAGTGCTTGATTAAATTCCTCCGTCGATTTGAGTCCTAACTCTCCATGCAATGTCGGTTTCCACACCTTATCCCAGGATCTCCAAGTTATGCCTCGACTTTCCTTGTCACAACACCAGATGAATATACCTAAGATCTGATTTTCCTTTTTTAGGGTGTCCTTGGGCAACTTGAAAACTCCCATAGGGTAGACTAGCATTGAAGAGAGCATCGACTTTGCTAATGTGACTCTACTTGGCAAAGATAACAACTTTGTCTTCCAATCCCCCAATTTATTGCTTAGCTTGCTTGTGAAATGTGCAAAAATGAGTCTCTTCTTTTCCTCAAGATCCAGACTCATCCCAAGGTATTTGCTTTGAAAATTAGTAGACTGAATGCCAAGTGTTTAATGTAGTAGGTCCTTCTGCTCTTGTGTGGTGTTATGACTCAACAGAATCGAGGACTTGGAATGGTTAATTTTCTGACCTGATAGTCTGGCATATTGAGAGATCGCATGAGCCAGAGCTTTGACAGATGATTCCTTGCATTCAAGAAAGAACAAGCTGTCATCTGCGTACATCAGATGACTTATTCTTGGAGTAGCTTTCCTGATCTTAATGCTGAGTCCAGGTAGTTTCCTAATTTCCGCTCTTATCGCCGATGATAATGCCTATTGGCAAAGTATAAACAGGTATGGTGAGAGAGGACACCCTTGTCTAAGACCTCTATTTGGCTGGAAAAAGGCTAAATTCTCTCCATTAAATAAGATTGAGTAGGATACTATGGTGACACAATGCATGATTCGAACTAACCGAGTAGAAAAACCTAATTTAGTTAAAGCCTCTCTGAGAAAGCTCCATGATACTCTATCATATGCTTTACCCATGTCCACCTTAATTGCTGCCACCCCTGTTTTTGCCTTTCCTTTTTTTGATGTATTCCACTACTTCATGTGCAATCAGGATATTCTCACTAATGTTCTTTCCAGGCACAAAACCATTCTGGTGGTCATCTATCAGATCATTCATGACTGCCTTAAATCTTGTTGTGATCATCTTTGTGATGATCTTGTACTTGACGTTACACAGGCTGATTAGTCTGAAATTATTTGGCGTAGTTAGATTTGCTGTCTTTGGGATGAGGACCAGATTGGTCTGGTTCCATTCCTCTGGGAATTTTTCCTTTTGTGTCACCTCCAATATGGCCTGAACTACCTCCGTTTTGATTTGTTGCCAATACGTTTGGTAAAAACCCGCTGGCATACCATCCGACCCTGGTGACTTCCAAGGTGCCATTTGCTTAACAGCATTCCAGACTTCTTCTTATGTGAAAGGACTTTCCAGAAGTTGTTGTTGGTCCTCGGATAAGGTTTCCTCCATTGTGGCCAGTAAGTCCCCTACATTTAAATCTTCCCTACCTGGAACATATGATTCGTTAAGAGTAGTGAAAATATCCGAAAAATGTTGATCAATTTGAAGCCTTATTTGCTCCTGCTCCTGTATCCAGTTCTCTTCTTGGTCTAGTAATTCTGTAATCCATTTATTGCCTTTTTTCCTGGATGCCCATTTGTTGAAGAACTTTGTATTTTATCTCCTTGTAGTGGCCAAATCAGTTTAGATCTTTGTCTCCAGTAGTCTTCCTGCATTATCAGAGCATGTTCCAGTGCTTGTTTGAGTTCTGTGAGTTTCTCATGAGCCTGTGAGTGGTTTCTATGTTCCTCCCAGTATTGTTGCTGAATTTCCACCACCCTGAGCAATTTATGAACATGTTTATCAATGCTATTAAAACTGTCTTTACTCCAGCTGTGTAAATGGTGTAAACATCTGTTCAATTTGAAGGACATGCTTCTTTGTAGGTCATGATCCTGTGGTGGATTCTATTGTGGGTTGTGTTGCCAATGTTGATTGACAATCTGCGTTGCCTTGTCACATCTCACCCAGAATTGCTCAAACATTCTCTTCTGTTTTTTCTTGTGGTTTTGCTCTTTCAGGTCCAGTAAAATGGGGCCATGATCAGACATCAAAATGGGGAGATTCCTGATTATAGCTTTGTTGAAGAAAGTCAGCCAAGCTTTGTTGACAAAAGCCCTATCCAATCTCTCATATATGAGGCTATCTCCTTGCCTGTTATTAGTCCATGTGTACCAACATCCAAGATGTCTGAGTTCTTCAAATCATACTTACTCAGAAAAGTCTTGATACATTGAGTATCTGCTTCATTGACTAATCGGCCCCCATATTTGTCTTCTTGATTAATGACTTAGTTGAAATCTCCTAAGAGAATACTAGGATACGATAAAGGACTGAGTGCGCTGTTTAGATCAAGCCAAAATTTGGTTCTCCCCTGTCTAGAAGGAAAACCATACAGAAAGATAGCAACCCATTCTAGTCCTGTTACTTCTACTATCTTAACTGCTATTACATTTTCATTTTTGGCCAGCAGGGTCAGAGAGATTCCGTCTACCCAAAATAAGGCTAATCCTCCCCTGGTGCCTATTGGATCCACCAAAATGAGGTGCCTATAACTAGTTCCCTACTGCGATTTAACCATACTACTAGCTGCCATCTTAGTCTCTATCAAAAATAACATACTAGGGTTATACTGCTTCAATAGTTTACATAATACTTGCTTAGTGGGGATACTATTCATGCCCCTGCAATTCCAGCTCAGAATTATCATGGAGACAGAGGCAGTTGTTTTGGATCAACCGCCGCAAATCCCTTCAGTCCTTCCTGCATTTTCAATTGGCTATCAAAAAAAGAAATCAAATTGGTCATAGTTGAAAGGCTCCTTCTGCGACCTTCCAGACACTAAGCTTTCCTTCCCAGCTGTTGCTGCTCCGCTTCTGTCACTTCCCTTGGTCTTTTGGCCATCGTATCAGTGTCCTTGGCCTCATTTCCTACCAGCAGGTCACTTCTCACTGTCATATTTTCCAGGGCCATTTGTCTCTTCCATCTCTTTAGTCGCTCCAGGGTCCTATGAGGCTGATAAGTTAGCACAGTCAGGGACTGATCTGTTGCTAAAGTTCCATTGGTTCTTAGCTCCTTCTGGTACATTAGCATTTGCCTTCCTCTCTTCTGTTTTGTGCTTGCCTGGCCATGAAACTCGTTCCTTGTCTCTTAAAGGTCCTCCTCGCCAGAGTCTTTGCTTCCTGTTTTCCCTTCCCCTAGCTCTTACTAGAACTTTCATGGCGATATTCTGTGAGCCCATTCACCTCTTTCTCAACCTTCTCCCTCAACTGTGGCCAAGACAGAATAATGGCCTTTTCCATGCTGTTAATTTCATCCCCAGCTACTAGCAGCCGACTGAAGTACTGTGCTGCTTGTTCTTCCAATTGGTATTGAGCGTCTGCCTCTTCCATCTCTGGAGTTACGAGATTTTCTGCATCCACTTCTTTGGCCACCATTTCATTCTCCGTATCAAACAATGTGTCTTGATCTGCCTAAACTATATAGTCTTAGCATTACAGAAGAAACCCCATGATCTCCACCACGCAGGGAGGTTATCCATGGTACCTACACTGAACTTCCTATCCTTATCTTTAATGTTTAAATCCCCTATACCAGGAGACGGTACATCAACACTGTGTTCCTCCACTGACAGTACATTTGAATTACCAGAAATCTGACTATTGACTAACACAGAAGGTTCAACATATGAAACAACATCAACAGAATTCTCCAAACCATTAGTTTCCTGAGGTTGATCCTCAGAAGGTATCAGGTTACTTAAAGGTGAGAAGGTTGCCTGTGTTAGTTCTAGCAGATTGTAATTAGGCAACCTGTCTCGATCATCATGTGATACAGTAAAAGAAGGAAAAGAGAGCACACTATTAGGTGAGTTACCTCTAGCCACAGAGCCTGGCGGAGAGGAGGTTGCAGATCCTTCATGGAAACCATTTTCCTGAGGGCCTCCGTCGTTGATAACTCCATTACCAAATCTGTTCTCTACCTCCATGTCCTCTTGGTCCTCCTCTTAGCCATCATCTGGTGGTCCATTGTCCGGGTCCTCTGGACCATCAGGATCCTCATGATTCTCCTCTTCGTCAGTTTGGTCACCATTGTGGTCTTCATCATCCTCACTTGGGGGCGGATCAATATCCATTGCATGAAAGCCCTGATCCCCATCCATCGTGATTTTGAAGCCGTCATTTACCCGTTCTTCCTCAATAAGAGCGTAATAAGACCTTGTTCTATTCAGAAACGCTGCTGTCAGTCTGGTGCATCTTTTGTTTTTATGGCCATCCGCTCTCATGGTCTCTTGAAACATCTCACATAGCTTATTCCAATATATTTGATTATTATTTCTTTCTGCTTGAGTCCTAAAGTAGTCAGTGAGGAAAGCCTCTAATGCTACATCAGAGACTATCATACACTTATGATTGGAGTGTCCTAGCCTGCCACATCTCCTACAGAACTTATGCAACCTTTCATATCTGCATTCCACTAAATTTGGCGTACCTCTAGAAGATGTGGTATGAAAAGCTGGTGTTAGTGGGTTACTTGGCTAGATCCAGATCTTAGCTCGTAGATACGTTGCCTTCTGAAGCGCAAAGTAATCTTCTTTGATCGTTTCCACCTCCCCCGGCATTTCAACTAGTTCACGCGCTCCTCTCCAGTTGAAATTCAGCAGTGGAGTCTTATGGAGCCGAACCCAAATTGATAATTTTGTGATCCGAACCCTATCCAGGACTAAATCATCATCAGCATACCATCGTCACAGTATCAGCAGTCCACCATACACTACATATGGTCCATTTTCCAGAACCGCAAGGAGATCTAACTTGCTTACAAATCTGATCACAAAAAAATTACGATCATAGTGTACAACCCTTGCATATAAAGCCCAGTTCCTAGTGATGTAGTTCTGCAATTGTTCACCATTAAAATATCCATCGTCGATGAGATACCCTATTAAGGAAAGAGATTGATGTTCCGCCGAGAACTCCTCTGCTACAGCTGAGATCTGCTTATTGAGAACCCGCATGTGGGGTCTATAGATCATATGTGGCGGCACATCTTGATCTGGATTATAATTCCTCATTTCCTCTGAAAACTCAGGCCCTTGATGAGTGTAAACACTAGAAAAGGAATTCTCACTTGCATGTGAATAAAACATGCCGATCACTTATTTAAAGGACCAGATCTGGCCCTTGGAAGTGTTAACTGGAAATAAATGCTTCTCTTGACCCTCCAAATGAGTTTAATCGGTTCTGCAAGTGGATCTGGCTGCACATTTAAGTTTTTTGCAAAGTTTACAACCTTTGCATACAACAGAAGGACTTTGGAAACAGTCTAATTCTTCTGGGAAAAAGGAAAGGTGCCGCTGGCTTTGAAGAGTGTATTTTAGGTAGTAAAAAGAAAACAAAAAGACGAGTTGGTTCCTCTTTTTGGGTTTCACATTCTAAATTTTGTTGTACTTACTATTAATCATAGTAGACTTGCTTGGTAAACATATCACAAGTGTCGTAGCATCGACAAGAAAGCCAGAGGTGGTTCCTCTTTTTGGGTTTTTTTTACTATTTATTTTTATTCCTGAATGTATTTAAAAATAGAGGATAATAAGGCATTCCAGATGAAGAAAAAACAGAATAACGGAAAACAGAGGATGAAGATGTCATCACCAAAGTGAAGTAATTATTGTCACTCCAAGGTTGTTAATTACTAACTTGTGGATGCTGCAACTTGATTTGATGATTGTAACTTGGCCAAAGAATGACCAGCTTTCAAATTTTTCTTTGCCTGAAATTTAACTACTTTCATGGGATGGAGTTCGGAATAGATACAACGGTGGTTAGATTGTATAATTTTTACAGTTATTTTATCTTGGATGGAAGGCCTTGAGATGGCATTTGTTTGCCGGATTAAAATTCATATAACTTTCATGAGCCTCAACCAATGAATACAAAGACAACACTTATCTTATTCTTAAATATCTTTGTTTCCATGGAAATACACGTGTTGATTAGAAAACTTGCTTGATGTATAACTTATACAGGAAGACTCCCAACTTTTACAGATGGCGATTTGCAAATTATGAGGAATGGAGAAACCATTTTTCCAGCTAGACGTTACCTCATGCATTGCTCAAACAGGACTGCATAGAAGGAGCTACCTTAAGGCTCAAATGATTGTTGCAGTTCATCTCTAGGTTGCAGCTAGCACATATACACAACAGTTTCATCCAATATATGTATTAGAAGAGATGAGAATGAAAATACTGGCTGTATCTTTATCTAACATGTATTAGAGGAGATGAGAATAAAAATAGTGGTTGTATATTTTAGGTTTGAGCATGGTTCTAACTTTTCTTCATATGCATTTTAGATTCAGAGATGCTCTCGAATTGTGAATCTCAATTAACATCTATATTATCATCTCTTTATTTGAAACTGCTCTATCTTTTGAGTTTATACGCACTTGGTGATGAAGAGAGCAACAAAAAGGAAAAAAAAATGCAGAGAATTTATTTCAATAGATTCCACAATACTATACTAGACCGGATATATTTTTCCCGAACACCGCACCTCGTGCGGTGCAACCAATGCTAGTAATGAATTTAATTGCAATTAGTTTTCCTGGTATGGTACGCAAAGTCTTCCTTCCATGATATTTAATATGATAAACTTCTTTTTTCCCTCTTATACATACGGTATGCACTAACGTACGGTCATTAATCAACTCACTGACTTGTAAACACCGTCAACAACAATGACTAATTCGCTGGTTGAATTGTAGGTATAGGAGCAACAGAAGTAATTAAAATGCAGAGTCAAATTGAACTCAACATGATCACTAGCTAAACTTGGGGGGCCCAAGTACTAGCGCGAAGCAAGGGCAAAAATTTTCATAGTGCACTAGTGGTAAGCAATTTAACTTTATGAGATAGTTTTCTTTTTTGAGAACATTCTTTTTCTACTTGGAATGAAATAGCAAGTGTTCATCTACGTAATCAAAAGAGTAGCAGCTCGGGAATGAATAAAAAGAGTAATAAAAAATATATTAGCGGATTCTTCAAATATTGGACCTCAGCCATTGTGGATGAGACTTACGGGAGAGATTCAAACTTGATGTTCATTGGTCCAGGGCATTCAGACATAATCAAATTCTTCACGCCATAGACTTATGCCTCGGTTTCGACTTCGCATATAATATATATATATATGGTTAATTTTTGGAACTTCAACTATTAAAAAACATTAGATTAATTATAAGAACACCCTGAGTATCAACTAATCAGAATACAAAGAATACGTTTCTTCTTCTTCTTCTTTTTTTTTAAATAATGAAGGAGGAATACTCTCTCCGATCCTTAATATAAGGCATTTTGATTTGTCTTAGGTTTAACCTTGTACTTATTTTTAATTAATCAAAAAATCTTAAAAATATTTCATAACAATCAAGAGAATACAACGAATGCGAAAATATATTTTTAAGATTTTTTTATCAATTAAAAATGCGTACTAGATTAAATCTAGGACAAAATCAAAATATCTTATATTAAGGACCGGAGAGAGTACTATGTTACTGCGATCAAGAGTACCAACACTGCTCTTATCTTGTGGTACAAGATGAAAGAGAAAAATCTAACAAATTATAACACTTAAACCTGCAAAGAGAGATCCCGTCATAGTCCGATTCCGACTTGAATATGTGAGTAAAAGGAAAGATCAACCAAGGAGAGTATATACTTAGGAATAAGCCATATCTGCATCCATGAATAAAGATGAGAAATGCAAAGAAGACAAGGGATTGATCATCGTAAAAACTTCGCGATCACTATGAGTATGGCTAATTATATTTATTTAATTTGTTGTTGTACCAAAAAATTAAAGTAAAACGTTAATTAACTGGAGGCTGAAATGTCCCGACTTGGTATGAGAGAATGAAGCGACTTTCTTCTTTTTCTCTTTCTTTCTGAGCGGCTCGTCAAAACTACCAATTTGCTCACTTTGGCATCTTGCAGTAATATTATTGAAACAGTACGTCTTTAATTCCAATGCTCTTCAAAATCCTTCCTGGATGGCTTCCAACTTTGACTTTACGTTTAAGCGATTGAATTTTGCTCCGAACAGGTACAACAGGAACAACAACCTTGTTTTCCACATTCTCCAATTTCACATGCATGAATTGAAAAGTAATGGTGGAATCAACCTTATAACCAACAAATGATAGAGTGCGGAATCGAGGAGCCATCCATAACAAACTCATCAACAGATGCACCGTAAGTCGTGCGAATGTAGGATAAGAATTCAAACCTATAATTAAGTGTTTGATGTCCCAAAGCGGTGGAAGAGACATAGATGTGATGTTTGGAATCATGAAACAGCCAAGATCAAAATTGTCAAACTATACCGTCTCCAATGAACCAATTCCATGAGCTTGTCGTACGTTACCTTAACGTGTGGTGGTCAAAATTAACAAAGCAAACAGGTTTTAATGATGATGAAGTTTCAAAAGAGAGTTTTGATGATGTCAAACTACTATAACAATTTTCCGACAGATGAGGAGCATCCACCACTTGAACATCCCGTCGATGAAAGTCAGAGTTTAGGTACAATTTCTTTAAAGAGTTACTTGAGATGTTGATGCTTACTAATCTCTCGTCACCAATACTTAGAACAAATCTAAACTTGAATACCTCAAGGAGGGTCAGGTGATCGGGAAGGAGTTGTTGGATTGTCTCGACTCTCGAGCATTTTTTCATCTCCGCGACCTAAACAGTGATCCAACTCGAGAAATTCTTGCAGCCCGCAACCTCCAGGATACCCAATTCTCGCACACCAATGCCCCGACAAGAAAGATACTCGAGATTTGGTGCTTCTTGAATGCAAATTTCTTTGATTTTAGGTTGGCGATCATTGTTCATTTCAACCCGTTTCAACTTGTTACGCGATCTGACCTTCAAAGCCCGGAAACCATAAGAATTGTGGAGGAAGAGGAGCTCAAGCTGGGGAGAATTCATGATTATTTGTTCAAGTAACTCTTCATCAACTTGATTGCAAATCAGCCACAACTCTTTCAATGAAGGAAGATGTATTTTCGTCATTAATGTGGATGAAATAGGATGATGCTTCACTCTTTCAAGAGAAAGGCTTCATAGAAAACGTGCAGAATACATAGATTGTGGTAAACCCCAAGTCCAAAGTCCAAACCAATTTCTCTTATATGATCTTTCCCATCTTTTTCCAGTAGTATAAGCTCAAGTAGGGATTCGATCTCGGGTTTCACGGAGAGAGGAAATCCATAACTATCAAGGACGAACTTTTGTATGCATAAACCCTGGGTTTGGAGATTCCTAATAAAACTTCGTACAGAAGAAAGCATGGATCTAACCTTCAACGATCGGAAACTACGCTCACAAAGATGCAA